ATATGTATTTTATATATATAACTTAATACCTGTCAGTGGGAAGAGAAGAAGGGCTTGAACAGAGAGGAAGACAGGAGTATTATTTACATATATTTCAACAGTGATAGAGTGCCTCTTTATAAAAAAGATCCAGACATTTATTTAGAAAATAATGTAGTTATGAATGGCCTTTTAGAATACTGGCTCTCTAAATTGAAAGCTTTGTACATTTTGTTCAAAGATGAGCGTATGTGGAATGTTGTGTAGCAGTCTTTTCCTCCACTAAAGATCAGAGTTGGCTTAGACGATCTGTATGCGTGAACTGTGATTTTTCTGCCCCACTGCTTCCAGTAGGTCCCTCCTGAAGGGTCGTGTCTCATTGAAGGTGACCTTCTCAAGCAGAAAAGTGCAGGCTAGGTTTGTTTTAATACCTTTGACTGATGTGCTGGTCCTTCTGTACTTACAAATTAGATACCACAGCACAGTAAAAGAAAGTTTATTTCCTTAATATTAACTTTTATTTATATTCTTTAAATTCAAAAAGTGTTTTCACTTCAAGAAGGTAAATTTATCTACTATTGGCTGACTTTATTGTTTCATGAGCAATATTTTATTCTTTTACAGCGTTATCGGATGCTCAGGGGAATTTTCTTTTGAATGGAAATTTTGTTGTAAGTATGTCAAAAAAAGAGATCAACATACAAGGAGCTACTTTTGAGTACAGTGGATCAAACAACTCTGTGGAAAGAATTAATAGTACTGATCGCCTGGAAGAAGAGCTTGTTTTGCAGGTAAAATTTCAGTGAACATTAATAAGACTTAATTTTAAACATATTAGTGCACTATACTGGCTAAGTGTTCAGCATTTATGATTAAAGGTAAAGTGCAATCTTAGGAATGTACCCTTTATAAATTAATCGCATGTCCCTTTGTATTTTCCTTGAGGTGTTAAGTGTGGGTAATTTATACAATCCTGATGTACGCTATTCCTTCAACGTGCCTGTGGAGCAGAGGACTGACTTGTTTGCGTGGGACTTGTATGGACCATGGCAAGACTGTACCAAAATGTGTCAAGGTAGCCTGGTACTGAATAAAGGGGACAGAAGTCTGGCTGTGCACGCTGCTATAATCTGGTCCTTCTGAGTCTGGCTGCCTGTGGAGTCCTCCCCTCTTTCTGTACACGTATAGCACACAGGTGTGCAGAGGGGATGGTCTTTTTCTCCTGCTTACTTTTCTCCTCACTCATTTTTATTCTGTAGCTTACCCTTAACAGTCCTACTTAACTGTATGCTTTTTAACAGTCTCCATTACTTCTCTTTTGCTTTTATGTTCTTACGCTCTTTATTTGCAGCTGCGAAAATTTCTCTAACATCCTGCTTCCCAGTGAATTATTTGCCCTCTTACGCACTCCGGTTCATCTCTGTCTTAGCAACCTGTTTCCCCCTTTCAGTGTTGAGATATCAAACTTTCTTTGATGTCCCTTTCTTGACCCCAAGAAAATATATTTGTACCCATAGCATGAATCGCTGAAGGAGCAGAGAGGGAAATGATAATGCAGGGAAATGTATAGCAGAGAAGGAACATGGCAAGGCAGGAAGGTCTGTGTAGGCTGATTGTAGAAACCTAATCGTGCAGTCCCAGTTCAGTGTAGGAAACATTAATTGAGCTGCCTTATTTCAGATTTTCAGGAAGAGCCCAATTCTCCATGCGGGTTTTGAAGTTCAGTGGAGGCAGCAGAAGCATGATTAGATATCTTAATATAGATAGTAAATCTCAGAGGTGAGCACTTCAGAGGTGGAAATCGGAGACTGGAGAAATTCGTACCGAATGAAAAGCGGTTTTCCTGAGGAATACAGAAAAGGCTTGTGCGTGAAGAGGAGTGGTGTGCAAGCGTGAAGAAAGCTCAGCACCTTGTAGGAATGGGCCTCTGAGGGAAGACAGTGGCCCGAGAAGCCAACAGATGCTGAGAATGCGAGGGACGGGGTAACAGACTGACATCGCGGGGGGCCCAGGGGCCTGTGGCCTCCATGCAGGAGGAATAGCCTTGGCTCTATGCTGCTGGGACTGTGCTGGCCAGAACGACAGAGTGGGACAAGTACTCCTGTTAGGGTTTGGGCAAGTCTCCAGGAAGATACGGTCAGCGGGGGTAAATGCTCAAGGAGAATGAGGAGCTGTGGGATTGTCGAGGAAGAGGGGGATTCCAGACCCTGGTGGACTTCACAGAAGAGAGTGTGGGGAACTGGGATGAGCGCTAGACACTGAGTGTGTCCGCCGGTTCTGTGGTTATGGACGTGGGGAGCCGGGGCAGCAGATCCCTGCAGCGGGTGGATTCTAAAACGCAGCGCCTCGCCAAATGAAGCGAACACAGAGCAGTGGGAAAATATGGTGAGAGAAGTGTGGAGCTCAAGCCAGAAGAGCCCCTTCAGCACTTCTGCCGAGGAGGCAGGACTTGTTAATTCTCTTGCCACATAGTATATGTTATGTCCCCTTTTCTTGTGTCACATTTTGGTGTCTTCTAAAGTTGAATTCCCTCGATTTTATTTGCTTTTTTACTTATTTTTCTGTATACTCAAAGTCATCAGTCCTCAAGCTCTTTGTCAGAACTACAGATTTTTGTCTGATTGTGTCCACACATTATTTATGAGTTTTAATTTTCCTTCCCTCTATCTCTCACCCTCTTTTCTCTCGTGCTAATTTATTTGTGTCACTTTTTGGGCTCGTGATGTGACGGTCACTTTGAGTTCTCCCTTCATTATACCCCGGGGAACCCTCTCCCACACTCTCCAGTATTGGTTTCTTTGTTTTCTAAATCCCATGAATTCTTCATTTTGAAGTCCAACCCTTCTTGGTTGAAACATATTCCTCGGTGCTTTTCATCTCTGAAGGTAGCATCGTTCTATTTTCATACTTGTCAGGAACCTTCAGGGCATAAGATTTCTAAAGTAGAGTATTTCCTTTGAAACCCTTGTTTTTTGGCTGGTAATTCTCCCTGTTGCTTAACTTCCTGTGCGTGAATGTTGCATCTTCGATTCTGAGAGTTTTGTGACTCCTCCCCTTAGTTCTAGTGGCTGAAACGCGAGGGCATTGTACCCCGACGTGAATTTTTTTACATCAGTTTTCTTAAGTAATTGTGATGCCGTTCTGATTTGAAATGCTTTAGATTTTTTGCTTTGAGGCATTTTATTACATTATTTTTTATTCTTCTATCTTCCTGAAATTTACATCATGTTTTTGTCTCGTAAACCGAGTCCTCATTTCCTAGTTTCTCCTCTCAATTTGATTATTTTATTAGTGTCTCTTCTCGTCATGCCCTGCTTTTGTTTCTTGGATCTGGCATCATGTACTATGTCTGTGAGGATATTCATCATAATTAAGGTTTTCTTCTATTCCCTGGCATATCTATTCATCTTAGTCTATTCCGTTTTGCTTCTCTCGGGCTCTTCAGTGTTAGAGCCCTTCCTAAAATGTCTGCGGACCTTTCGTGTCTGTTCATATTTAAGAAGTACTAAGTTGTAACTGCAAGTCCTCTGTGAGTCAGACAGGTAAACCAGGAACTTCGTTCTAGTACAACTGAGTCTTTGCGTAGTGGGGGGAAGACCCAGATGCTGTTGTCAGTCGATCATTTTCTTGGACTAAGTGGTGCCCTACGAGAGGTGTTCTTCCATCTTTTGAGGGTCCTGATGGGTTAGCAAACAGCAGAAGTTGTCTTGGAGCCAGAGGGGGATGCAGCCTGGCGGGATAGGATCTCATCGCTCAGCCTAGCAACTTAATCGTTACCTGTTTCAGTCCGGTGTGTCTCATCTTCCCTGCTTTGCATCTTGTTCCTGTAGGTTCTTTTCTAGAGCCATTACCCAGTATGTAGCCACCACAGGATTAGTCCACTGAAATTTGCTGTACATGTGCATGTACGTGTGCACTGGATTGTAAAGATAAATATGAAAAGTAATGTAAAACATGCTACTAATACTTTTCATAATGACTTTGAGATCAATATAAAATCTGATCATTGTTGAAATGATCATATTTTAGATATTTGGGGTTAAGCATAAATGAAATGAATTTCACCTGTATCATTTTGCATTTTATTAGGACTAGAAGAAAATATTAAAATTGTATTACGCTATTCACGTTACTTTTATTTAAGTAGTGCTGGTTTTGGCTAGAAGGGTGATGCTTTAAGAGTTCTTCGTAAATACTTCTTCATCAATTCTGCATTCTTTTCAGGCCTGCTTCTCACACAGTAGCCTCTTCAAAGGAATCTGGTGTTTTTGATTTCTGAGTTTTGCTTGGATTCTGTGGCATGAATAATTCTCTTTCCCCCTTCACAGGATTAGGTTTCTTCTGCCTTGGCTGTGTTAAATAGCTATTCCCACTGTTCATATTGAGACTTTCCTTCTCTTGTCTACTGGGTTTCCTTTCTATATATTTTTCTTTCAGATACATGCCTTTCAAAATTCTTTAAAGTTATTTTTTAAGGGGCGTTTGGGAAAGATCTGAGGTAAGCATATATGTTCCTATTTAGTTAATTGGAAGAGCTCTGATAAGGCAGAAATTTGATATCATCAGTTCTTCAATTCTTTACTGTCTCCTCACTGCGGAAAGTACAAGTTCACAGTACTCTGGTTTCTCCTGACTGCTTCTCTTAGCTTGCTTTTGCTGTACACATGCTACAGACAAACAACCTCCAAATTTCAGTGCTTTAGACAAAGGTTTATTTATTGCTTATTCCATGTTCCGCTGATTAGCTATGGCTGTACCCTAACTTGGAATATGTGTCCACCTCATTTTAAAAGATGATTTACAGACCTTATGAATAGCAGTTTTAAGTTTATTGGGGAGTTGAACAGAAAATACAGGAAGTTTGAATATTCCCTCTTTTTCCTCCTCTCCCTTATTCTGTACGCGTACTAATGTTTTGTCTGTGGTGCCTGTGTGTAGTCGGTGAGCCAATTTTGATGCATTATTGTCAACTAAGGCCTGTACTTTATATTAAGGTTCACTCTTTGTGTTGGCAATTCCGTAGGTTTTGACCAATGTATGATGACATACTTCCATCATTGTAGCATTAGAGAAGTTTCATTGCCCTAGAAATCCCCTGTGTTTTACCTCTACCACAACCTTTTATTGTCTATCAATGCCTTTTTGTTCATGATTCCAGGCTGACAGACTGGTCCTGCCTGAGAAAGACCAATCTGGAGACAGAGGGAAAAGAGAAGGAACTAAGTGGAATTGGAACAGGTCACATCTCCTTCAGTCAGCTGGCATAAGTCTGATGCCACCAGACAAGGAAATGTTCTTCTGCTCTGGAAGTTGCCATAACCCTGTAGCGAGTAGAGATGTGCGATTTTCTTGCAGGGAAAGGAAAAACAGATCACGCAAACGTATATGTACAGTGTACCGTGTAGCGTCAGCACTAGCCCTTCCACTCAATTTTTCCCCCCAAACTACTCAGTCTGAGCTATGATGGATTTCTTTCTACTGTATACCTGTCCCATCTTCCTCTCATCTCTTCATTAAGCAAACTTGTAAGTCATTCAGGACATAGCTTCCTTATCACAAAAAGTAATTCCTGACTACATTAACATGCTAGTTTATTCAATTTGAGGCAGTTAAAAGTTTCACTTCTTTAGCTGAATCCTTGAAGTTGTTATCAGAATTAAATAAGCTATGATTAGCTATGGCTGTACCCTAACTTGGAATATGTGTCCACCTCATTTTAAAAGATGATTTACAGATCTTATGAATAGCAGTTTTAAGTTTATTGGGAAGTTGAACAGAAAATACAGAAAGTTGGAATATTCCCTCCTTTTCCTCCTCTCCCTTATACTGTACACATACTAATGTTTTATCTGTGGTGCCTGTGTATAGTCGGTAAGCCAATTTTGATGCATTATTGTCAACTAAGGCCTGTACTTTATATTAAGGTTCACTCTTTGTGTTGGCAATTCTATAGGTTTTGACCAACGTATGATGACATACTTCCATCATTGTAGTATTAGAGAAGTTATAATACTCCTCCACTTATTTGAATTTTTCTTTCACTTTTAATTTCTATGTGACTTTGGCCAAGGTCTTCGTAGAAGAAAAATCACCTGTGTACGTAAGAGTGATCACATGGTTGTGTCTGATCAAAGTTGTGACCACCTACCACTTCCAGTGTTTGTAAGTGAGAAGTGCAATGCAGACTGTGAACTAAGGTAAGGGAGGTACACGGATGGTGCAACCAGTATGTGGTAGACCTAATAGTGAGATAAGGTACAAATCATTTAGCATAGTGCCTGATGTGGACTGAGCGTGTTGTTGCTACCCAACATCTGCTCCTGCCATTAGAAACTTTCAGACTCACTAATTTGTGGTGAAAGTCAGCAGCTAATTTGAATTTTTATTCATAGCATTACTTAAATATCAGATTATAGTTCTGCAAAGTTTGTGCAGAGGATGGAAGCAATTTTGTCTATGAAATCGATACAGGTAGACACTAATCTGAAAACCATGGTTTCACGATCTGAAATAAAAAATGTTGTGTTATGATTATGCCATTCCCGTTGAACTCACGAGCCAGTGAACTTACAAACTTGGAAGGTTTGAGGATTGGGGAATATATACATGGATTTTCCTGATACTTTAGTGTTCCATCCATTTATTATTAAGAGACATGGTCCTGGATCATGGCAGGAAAATCTGCGTGTCCAGCCTAAGCTTCTTATCTTTTTCGTGTGTGATTGGTAATGGACCGATGCCAAGGACAATAACCCCATTTTTTAATTTCTGTATTTTTTGCGTTGTCGCCGGCGATGTTTAATATCCAAGGAGAGCCTGAACCTCTTGTACTCAGCAAGGATAAAAATGCTTTTTTTGATTAGATCAGAGACATAGCAAAACCTAGTGCTTAAGCTGTGGAGAGCACGGTGAAATTCTTCAGTTGCTGTTAGAAATGAACTCTATGAATCCTGTGCTTCCTTATACCGGTGTATTCATATTGTTTGATAGATTCCTAGGCTCTAAGTGCGTTAATTTGACTCAACGTAGCATTTTTGCTTGTGGGAAAATGTTCCCCCTCCACACTTACTTACTTTTTGAGGCAAGGTCTCACTATGTAGCCTCAAACAGGCTAGCCTCAAACTCATGACAGTCCTCCTGCTTCAGCCTCCTGAGTGCTGGGGTTACAGGTGTGCACCACCACGCCCAGCTCCTCCAGACATATTTAAATGAAGATGACGTGAGTATTAAGAAAGAGAAATCTACTTTGCAAAACTGTTTTGCTAACTTCTAAAGGCTTTATCTTTATTGATTAGATTCCCAGACATTCCCTGTTTACGTTTCAAAGTGCTGGAGGGGGTTGGTGTAAGGAGAGATGACCTGATGGGCAGCCACATTGAGATATAGTCTTAAATCTGCTCCTCCATCACTGGCTAATGTTAATCTGAACCAGCTGTTTTCAAAGGCTTTGAGGGAAATTGGAGTTCCTTGAAAATACATCCAGAGTTGTACCAAATGTCAGGGTGAGGTCAGTGAGTTTAGTATTGACTCCCTGTCTCCAACTTCAGCCAGACCAGCTCCATCTTTATGTATTTTGTGAGCAGCTAACACTTTCTTTAGAAAAAAGTAAGATTTCTGACCAAAAATTTCAATTGTTTATGCCACCGGGAGATAAAATCTCTTTGGGTCTCATTTTCTCACATGTAAAATGAAATTTTGGGCTACATGAGCGCTAAGAACCTTTTAGTCCCTGGTTGAGTCATACATCAATTATTTTAGGTAGAGCGCTTGTCCATCAACTCTTAGAATTTTAAAAACTGAATCGTATGTCTGAGTCTCCCTGAATCTTTTCATCTATTTGTGTATGCAAACGAGAACGCCTACCAGTGTTCATATCTTGTTTTCTAGGTGGCACGTTACTGGCAAGAGTGATTGTTCAGCCCACTGTGGCAAAGGGTATCGGTCCTTGGATGTCCACTGCATGAGGTATTCTGTTCACAAAGGACAGACTGTTCCAGTGGGTGACCGCTACTGCAGCCACCAAGCGAAGCCTCCTACCCGAGAGCCGTGCCATGGTGACTGTGTCTTACTACGATGGCATTATTCGGAGTGGTCCCAGGTACATTAAAACTCCGCTGAAGATTAAGTTGCCACCTTTTTTCTGACTAAACATTTATATATTTTATTTCTTTTTTTTTTTTTTTTGCTTTTTCTCCGGTACCGGGAACCGAACTCACGACCTTGCGCATGCCAGGCAGGCGCTTTTGCCGCTGAGCTAAATCCCCAGCCCCTAAACATTTATATATTTTAAAGTCTATTTTCTAAAGTTGATTTGACTTGAACCAAAATGTATAATAGATATTGTGAAATAGGAAGAAATTGTTCAAAAGAAAATGAGAACGGCCGGGGGGGGGGGAGGGAAGGGGAGAAAAAGCAGAAAAAAAGGATAAAATGGAAACAAAGCTTTGTAAATAAGGGAAAGAGGGGAATGGGGAAGAAAGAGGAACTGAGATATATTATGTACAGATCCGATTTTCCGGTGATGAATGTGATCATTATGTATGTCTAAATTGTACCAATAATTTTAATTTTAAAAATCTGGCTTGTTTTTCCATTTCTAAAAATAACCTCTTCTTGTTTTGTTCTGCTTTATTTTGTTTTTGCATCAGTGTTCCAGAAGTTGTGGAGGAGGGGAGAAGTCCCGAGAATCCTACTGCGTAAATAACTTCGGCCACCGTCTTGCGGACAGAGAATGTCAGGAGCTTCCCCGCGTGACGCTAGAGAATTGCAATGAATTTTCCTGTCCTAGTTGGGCCACTAGTGAGTGGAGTGAGGTAACATGAAACACGTGAGGCTCAGGACTGTTACAGTCAGTTAGAAAAGCTTCCCAATAACATTTGAAAAATTCAGTTTCTTTGATTGTTTTATAAAGTTTTATTATAAAGGCAATGAAAGCATACAAATGGTGTGTCCTGAACATGTTCACAGTTATCAGGCTAGAAATGGCATTTTTGGATTTTTAATCTAAATCGTTTTTAACCTGGCCATTTTTACAAGAGTGTGTTAGTGTCCATGGCGGCCTGGGATATGTAATTATTCGAAGTTTAGTTTTGCGTCTTTGTCTCTAGGACAAATGAATATTTCAGTGGGGCTTGGCAGCAGGAATTCGAGGTGGCTGGTGTGACCCAGTGAACTTTTCTGGAGGAGTAGGGAAATGAACTAGGAACAGTCTTCCAGCTGTATTGTAATGTGCAGATGCATCATTGTGTCATTTTGTAACGCATTTGTGCTGATGTCTTACAGTGTCTTGTTACCTGTGGGAAGGGAGCAAAGCAGAGACAGGTGTGGTGTCAGCTGAACGAAGATCGCTTGGGTGAAGGCTTCTGCAATCCGAGCACCAAACCCGAATCTCTGAGACCATGTGATCTTCCTACATGTGCGTCCTGGCAAGTAGGACCGTGGGGTTCTGTGAGTATATGATACGGGTCCTTCTCATTTGATCCATCTATACAGAGTAGCAGGAACGGTGGGATCTGTTAGCTCCCTACTTCAGTGAAATAGGGATTGGTTTATTAGAAATATGCCCCTGAAATGTATACTTCGATCTGCAAAATTTTGACATTCGCGCTAATTTTGCTATGGTAAATATTTCATCTTTGCTTGTGAATTCACTTTAGTTAACAAAAGTACTGTAAATCTTATGCTTTCATCAGCTTTGATTAAATCATTCATATTTTCATGCCCGGCGATTACACTGGTATTTTTTACTGTATTTGTATAGACATGGTTTCAATGTTTTACCAGCAAGGAGCTAAAAAACTGCAGGATAGGCTTGGGCAGGCTGGGTGAGGGTAGGTAGCTTATGACCCTGAAGAGGTTGCCTTCTCTTACCTCCTTAGCCAGCATGCACTATTCTGCCTTTTGACATTTATTTAATATGCTAAACAACATACATCAGGTAAAGTGTGAAAAGTGTTTGGTTCCTTTAAATTATATTACCTGTACCTCCAAAAAATCAGGCCTCTATCAATAATTTTATATTATAACTTTTAAAAAGTACATTAATAATACATAGTATATTTTGTTAACGTCGTGTTTTTAATAATATCTAGTAGTAAATTTGAAAAAAGAAACATTAATTGACTGGGCTAATTTTAGGTCTTAAATCTGCGTAAAGGCTAGGAAAAGGACCTATTGAAAGTATATTAGTAGCTATGTGTTACAGTTCAGATCTAAAGTGTCCCCTAGAAGATTCACATGGAAGGTGATGGGCTCGTGCAAATGCTGTCCTCATCGGTGACTGGCATGCTGATGAGTTCACTGCTCAATCACTCGCTGTTAGGAGAGAGTATTGGTTAGAGGCAGGTTGCTGGAGTTGTGACGTGACGTGGAAGATGCATTCTCCTTTCTGGCTTTTTCCTCCTTTCTCTGTTTCCTGGACGTGATGTGGTGAACTTTGCTTCCCTTCCTCTTCTACCATGTGGTTTCTGCTCTGTAGCCATGGACTGAACCCTCTGAAACAGGAGTCACGATACACCTTTCCTCTAATTTATGTGTGGAAGGTATTACTATACAGTAAGAAAAAGAAAGTTTATAGAACCTTGAAAACAATGGTTCTTCATATCTGTGTTTTTTTTTTTTTTGTAGTGCTCAGCCACCTGTGGACACGGGTATCAGATGCGTGCTGTTAAATGCGTCAGTGAGCTGTTCAATGTGGTTTTAGATGATGCAGAATGTCACGGAGCCAGCCATCCAGGTGACAGGCAGGTAAAGAAACCTGTTCATAAACTAGAACAAAGGTCTTTATGCTACAGAAAGATTACTGATATGTTCAAACTATTTTATATGTATTTTCCCACTTTAATTTATATACCTAAAAATGTGTATGTGAGGTGTAGTATTTATCATTTTTGGTTTTGCTAGGTATTTTATATCATTATTATGAAATATTTTACTCCTTATCTGCCAGTGGATCATTTAGTTTATATGTTCCCATTTCCTTAACTGTACAAGAACTATATTATTTATTATTATGAATGTGATAACCTCTTGCTTTTTAAGGTAGAGTTTTGTGTTCCTTCAAAAGGAAGGACTTTAAGATTCAGAATCTTACTCTCTATGACTAGCATGTAGCGGTATTTTGTGCTTTAGTAAGCAAAAACATTTAGATCATCTACTTGTATGCAGTTCATGAATTAAGCATGTGAAAAAGGAAATGAAGTATAGATTTGATGTAAATCGACATGGTAATGAAACGACGTTCTATGACATGTTTTTTTCTTTGGAACAGGACTGTATAGTTACATCTTGCCTGCTTACCCCTAACATTGCGGCCACATCACCAGCTCTTCCCATGGCAATGGTAGCACAATGGCGACATGGATCTTGGACCCCAGTAAGTGAATTCACTTAAACACCGCTATTACTTTTATGGAGGCTTGGAGACGTCAACAAAATAGTTGCTCCAGATCTTCTCATGTGTGTATTAATTCTGAGGTAATTTGAGGGTATGGAAGAAGTATAGAATCTAGGATTAGGTAAATTAATAGCTGAATCATGTTTTGCCTTTCAAAAGCCTTTGTCTCTGAGCAGGACATTTAAATCTTCAGGATCTATTTTCTAAAGTACAAAATGCTGATAATGATACTGTTATGTCATACGTTGTTATGAGAAATAGATGTGATAACAGGCGTTTATCAACTTTGAACTACATGCATTTGGGATCATAGATACTGTATTACTGAAGTCTTTTAGGGTTAATCTATTTGGAATATATAATTTGCTTTACACTTACATTTTACTTATGGGATCATAGATACTCTATTACTGGAGTCTTTTTTTTTTTTGTCTTTTTGAGACAGGGTCTTGCTGTGCAGTTCAAGCTGGCCTTGAGCTCACTTTGTAGCCCAGGCTGGTCTTGAACTCACAACAGTCCTCCTGCCTCAACCTCAGGATTACAAGCGTGTGCAACCACGCCCAGCTACTTGAGTCTCTCAGTGTTATTTTTAACGATAAGATTCTCTGACACAAAATGTTTTCAGTACCTTTAATATTGATATGTAAGCATTATTTCAAGCCATTATGTACAGTAAATTATCACAGAAATTTCCTGTCTAAACTCTAGTATTTATTGGCCCCATCTGAATTTGACTCATAAGTAATGCTGGGTGATAGTATTTGTAATTTATGTTTTTGCAGGAAAGGGTTTTTTAGAAATGTAACAGCCCTGAGGAGAAGGGTACTCTATAACATCTCAAATGCCCTGGTTTTTTTTTTAAGTGCTCGGTGTCTTGTGGAAGAGGCAGTCAGGCCCGCTACGTAAGCTGTCGTGATGCTCACGGTGCAATAGCAGACGAAGCATACTGCGCGCACCTACCCAGACCCGCTGAAGTATCCGTCTGTTTTAGCCCATGTGGAGAATGGCAAGCAGGAAATTGGTCACCTGTAAGTACTCTTATGAAAAAAAAGAAGCACAAATTTAAATGTAAAATTTGACATTTAATACAACATTAATAGAGTGTGTTCCACTGTCAATATTGACATTTCTGACCAGTGTTCAGCTTCCTGTGGCCGTGGAAAAACAACCAGACAAGTTGTATGCATCAGCTACCACCAGCCCACTGAGGAGAGTCTCTGTAACCCCGAACTCCGCCCCTTGGCAGAACAAGAGTGCAACCTGGCAGCCTGCCCACCTCCGCACGGCCACTTTCCTAGTTCCTCTGAGCAGCCCAGCCATTTGCCGGGCAGGAACTTGCCACTAACTCACAAGCCTGAAGATAATCAAAATCAGGGGGGCCATCTGTCAATCAGAGGAAACCAGTGGAGAATAGGACCGTGGGGATCAGTAAGACATTTTTATTGAGTTATATTAATTCTGTAACTTTTCATAATACAGCCCTTTAACAGATATACCCACACGCAAATGCTCTTAATGCTTAGTTTATCTGAAGACCAATAGCTTAAATCTTCAAAGGATTAAACATTTTTGAGGCCGATTACAAATCCCCAGATTTCTTACTGAATTATACATTAACGTGATACTATGATTACAGAAGAATGCACTTGAAAACAATCGAATTAGAGTTCACTATAATAAAAACAAGGGAAAACCTTTTAGGAAGTAAGACTACAAATGATGATGAAAAATACTACTATGTAGCAATACAAAAGGTACAGTTGTTCGTATTTTTTGTGTGGTTAGTGAAGAAATAATAAGAAAAGCACCAAAATAAAAGTTAAACATAAGACTACCTTATGTTTTTTATTCCTTCACAGTGAGACCATAATTCCTTCTTCCTTATACTGTACTCAGAGTAAGGGTGAAGGATTATTCTTAGCAGGGTTTAGAGATGTACCTTTACTGCAGTGAATTCTAGGAAAACCATCAGTAAAACTCAAGTGTTCTGACAGGTTTTCTTGATTGCGATTGGCAACCCAGTGAGGACGATTTTAAAGCTGAATTTGCTTCTGGCTGAGTCCGCGGGTTTTTCTGCTGTGTGCCTCGCGGTGTGGAGTCTGCAGTTGTGTGTCTCTGCGCTTTCTCCTGCCAGTGTTCGCGCAGCTGTGCTGGAGGTCTGCAGCACAGGGTTGTGGTCTGCCAGAATGGGAATGGACAGAGTGCCCGTTTCTGTGACGCAGCCTCAAAGCCAGCAGAGTCAAAGCACTGTGACTTGGGACCTTGTCCACGCTGGAACTACGGAAGCTGGGGAGAAGTAAGTCATGATATTCCCTGAGTTTGTGGGGATCATTTCATCTCGGGACACAGAAAGTTATGTCATTGGATACAATTGGATATTACTTCACTGTACTATATATGGAAAGAGTTTTTTCTTTAACTGAATGATTAAAACTGTGTTATTTTACTTTTTTTTTTTTTTTTTTGGTGTTGGTTTTTTTCTGGTACCAGGAATCGAACTCACGACCTTGCCAGTCAGGTGCTGTGCCGCTGAGCTAAATCCCCAGCCCACCTCAAAACCATGTTATTTTAACAGATATTCTTTCATGGTAGAAGTTAATCACTCACCCATAATAGAAAACGTATATTCTAGATTTTGGAACAAGGCCTGATGTAGTAGCTAATATATCAGAACTACTAATAGCCTTGTAAAGTTACTATGTTATTATTTACATTTCTCAGAAATTGGGTTGATAGAAATGTACAAAACAAGGTTGATATTTTAGACCATGTTTTATCCTGTTGCTAAGCTGTTCATTTTGTGAATCTTTTCCTTTAAGTAAGACAGCTGGAGATACTGGAAATATAAAGATAATTTTTGAAATGGTCACTTTGAAGCTGGCCATGGCGGTGCACACCTGTAATTCTAGTACTCTGGTGGGGAGGGTCAGAATTGCAAGATAGAGCCCAACCTGGGCAACTCTATGACTTTACAAGACCCTGTCTCAAAATAAAAAATGAAAAGGAACAAGGGTACAGTAGCCCAGTCTCCAGGACAAGGAAAGAAAAAATCACGCGAATATTATTCCCACCCATATTTTGAATGAATAAGAATGAGAAACAAATATATATTTTAATGTGATAAATCACTTCATTTATTTAGTCAGATGATTTACTCAATAGTTTTCATACACAACTTCTCATAGAATATTTGGAAATCATTTTCAATAGATACACTTTTGACTAGGTGCTAATAAACATTAAAAACATTTTAAAAATGGAGTTCTGTTTTCCAAAATTAAAGTCACTTCATGGTTTGTGAATTTAAGTATGTTCATTTTGAAAATTCATGTCTCATGAGAAAATATAAAGAAATAAGAACTTTCACCATTGTAGTATACTTCCTGCTTGGTTCTTGTTCTAATGGGTTATATAATCAGATTCACAGTACACACTACTTTGCTACCTGCTGTTTTCATGTAATGTGTACTGAATATCTTTTCATTATTATTAGTTATTAGCTGTCATGAGTACGCTGTAATCCACTGATTAGATAGCATATGCTGTAAAATTAATGCTAGGTAAGTTGCTTTGTGTCTGACTTACCCTGCTAACATTATCATATAGGCTTTTGATACATTATTGAAATATCATATTGTACCCATTTTCAGAATGTCAGTTTTTTAAATCCTGGATTTAAAACTTTGATTTTTGATCAGCTATGTACTGATTGATTTTTTAAGTAAGGAAAATGATCACAAAGATCAGAAGGAAATAAACTTTAAACTCTAGCATTACTCATCACATTTTAACCGTAGAATAGTCTGTCTGAAGCCTCGTAACTCTGAATTTTCCTCTTCTTATTTTTAGTGTACACAGACTTGTGGAGGAGGAATAAAGTCGAGATTTGTAATCTGTCAGTTCCCCAACGGCCAAGTGTCACAAGAGCACAACTGTGACGAGCAGAGCAAGCCGCCCAGGGTGGCACAGTGCCACGTGCACGCTTGCCCTGAAAACGTGTCGTGGCAGCGAGGACCGTGGAGATCGGTACGATAGCACTCTGAGTCTTTTGGTTGCTTTATTTCACTGTCTCTCTCACTTTAATTTTCTCTCTTTATAAATTGTGAACGCCACCCACTATCTCTTCTCTAATTGTTTTGAGAAGCAGACCATTAGCCACCTTAGCCTGTGTTATTAAATTTGATAAATTGAGGAATCCACTCAAGTACTGTAATATGTAGTGCTTTTATATGTATTTATTTTTACATGTGAATTTTGGACCATAGCGCCATTCTAATGGAAATAGTTTCCCCTTCCGTCTTTGGCTTGCCCTCATGTTAATCAGAAATGTCTTGCTATTTGCATTTGTATATAATGTTAACATTTTACGCGTAACAGTGGCAAAGTAAGCTATGTACTGATTGAGCATGTAATTGTATGTGGCTTTTGTCTATGTCCAGTAACTGATACAGAAGCAAAAAGAACCATTCTTTTAAAACTTATTTTTATCATTGTTAACCTTATTATTTTGTTTGGAAATGTGAAAATATTATGTTAAAGAAAAGATAGAAAGATTTACTTACATAAAGTAAATTGTTTACAGTTTGTTAAATACATCATGAAAAAGTGTGATTTATATAGTTATTTATATGAATATTCATTTTTTCCACTATGTGGATTTCCTGTGGTATAGGAATATTTTGATCTTCTGGGGTAATTTTTTGGAGCCATAGACAAAACTCAAATATTACTTATCAATAGTTTATTTTTCTCTGGTATTCTTCAAATATCCAGGCTTTGACGAATAATTAATACAGAAAATATACTGAGAGTTTGATCACTTTTGTCTTGTAAAATCATGAACAGTACAATTCAGATGAAAAATTTATCTTAGTCTATAATCTAGTTATAACTAAATTTATAAGGTTAAGCCATTCTTTACTTGGAAAAAATTGTAACTCCACTTTTACAATCAGTTTTGATGCTTGCCTGTTTTGCCCAAGCAAAACCCACTGCGTACCCACTGTGGTATTCACATGGTATTTGTATGTTGTGTTGGAATGTACCTATATTCCAATAGATCTGTTTCGTGCTATAGTACATCACACATGAGTGATATCATAGGTGAAAAGCCTGATTTTCATTAAAGTCCTCTCAGTAGGTAACTTTTTAACCTTATAAAGTAAATAATAAAGAAAAAAAAAACTACAAGTTATGCAATAGTAAGACGTAACTACAAAATTTCTTCATTATTTGCTGCATGTCTCTTCCAAAAGGAGTTCTTTGGATAATTCAATCTTTGCACTAGTGAAGAACTGTAATATTTTTATTTTTTGATAAATTGAAAACGATGTTTTTAAAATCACAAATAAATGTTTATATCAGAATGTTTACAAACTTATTTATTTACTTCACTCCATGTATATAGTACATATATATTGTTAAGTGCCCAAATTTCTTTTATCAGATAGACACTATTTATTTGTTCAGTTAGCCTTTTATATTAAAAGGATTTAGGGGACCTGAAGTTTTGATATCAGAAGCAAGTACCATCTTTTCTCTCTTTCTGTGTTGCCATATACTAAGTAAACTTCAGACTACCTCTTATCAACACCCCAGATTAATATTCTTTCATGGATAATTTTATTTGCAACAGACCCTGTTCATTAAGTTAGAGGATCTATGTGTGCAAGTGTAGGTACATCAATGACATCTCTTTCATTTTAAAGGAAAATGAAAGTAGGCAGTGCCAAATCATTTAAGTTAATATTAGAAAGTTGTAAGATTACACATAGTGTCTGTAATGTGGGAAATCTCATTCTGCAGTAACAGAAGGAATAAATACATCTTAACCTATGCCTGTTATTTAATATCTGTATTTTTGTGATTAGTCCCTGTGAAATAATTGTATTTTAACCTTCGTGTATTAATGATGTATGTTGCTTTGTGCTGTGCATAATCCAAATCCATGCTGTAATTTTACTTACTGAATCAATACCTAAAGTATTTTAAGTTACTGATCAGATATTGTATTGTCTCTTTTGTTTTGGTGCTATTTTTCTTAATGAATTTGTTAATATCTCTCATTAAACATTTAATTGCTGAAGAGTGTATGTTTTCATAATTTTACTTCATATATGTATAAGCTAATGCTATTTTTCAGATAGTAGTTCTGTTAAAAAACTATCATTGGACTTAAAAATACAAGGTTTATTATTTGGCTATCAACATTTAAATATTATAAATGTTAATATTTTCATGTTTGTATATTATAAACAATAAATAAAAATAAGTGATGTGCATAATTTTATTTAGTAACTTAGATGTGCTTATGATCAAGGTAGTCTTTCAAAATGAGTAAAAACATTACTTTTTTCTTTTTCAGACATAGTAATGTTTTTGGACCATTCTAACAAATTCTTTTTAAGCAGATTTACAATTTACATAATTTTCTCACCAAGTCTCACTTAAGAAGTAATTCATTTTCCTACATTTTACTTACTCCCTACGTAGAATGAAATATTTGGTAGACAAATAATGTCTGTTCCAGTGGGTCCTGAAGTTGATGACGAGTTAACGAAATTTTTTCTTTTTTCCTTAAAGAACATTTTTCTCACTAAATTTCCAATATGATACAATGGAATGCAACAAAACCACTTTCAGGAATGAGCTTGTGGGATTAGTACACACCCAGGAAGCCCCAAGTGTGTCAGTTAACAAGTGTGTGTAACACACGAACACCTAGGGTCTCAGCAGCACCTGGGGTCTCAGCAGAGGTATCCATCTGCTCCGCCCCTGCAGCGCCCCCGCGAGGCGAAAGGTGTGCGGGAAGTGTGCTGGCAGCTGCCCAGGGTCAAGGCTCTCGGGAAATGCAGTAAGGAGACCGTTCCTTGTTTTGACTTTGTAAAGTGGACTGTTACATCCACAGTCATTAATTATCATCTTAAGTTTGCAAAAGCCACATATAAAGATAGCAAGTAGGTTGGAAATCAATTTTTACATGAATTTTAAAATTCAGTATAGAAGTATTTATTATGTATGAAAATAGTCTTTCTATTTATTATGCTGTCTGCCATACCCTTCTAAGATACATGTGCTGATTTTCCTAAAAAGCATGAATAATTACTATATATTAGGCATGATACCTCATCACTAGAAACAAACTAGACACCATGTTTACTTACTAGGAGTACGCAGTTCAGCAATGAATTGCTAAATAAATGGGTGATCATAATCCACGGTGGAATTCTCATTTCCTTTCAGTAATAATCATGCGACTTATAATAGTGAAGATTCATAATTATAAATGGTTAATAGTTTAAAAAAATTAATACTGAAGACTGTATTTTAGTACAGAATTCTACTAGTAAATCTTAGAAAACCTGAAGTAGTAGGGTACATTGTATCATCACTTAGCAAGAGATGAGTTCGTCTAGTTCTGCGCTCAAAGAATACTGATTCCCGGTACCCTACACCAAAGAAAGAATAGGCTTTACATAGGTGACAGTGTCTTCCTGTTCTGCCCATGTGAATTTTATGCCATGCCAGAAGGGAGAACATGGAAAGATTTATAAATTGACCTAGATATGGAGGCTCCAAAAATAATTTTAGAGACACAGAGGGACCCTGCAGGTTTGAAATGTATGATAGGAAAATGTAGGTAGATATTCTAAGCAATGATAAGATCATAAAAGAAGAAATAAACTGTGGGTCTTACGATGTTAAGTGAAGTGAGAATGTAGAGCATACAGTAACTCTAAAAAGTATTTCAACATAAGTGGTGATATGCAGTATTTTCTTTATATTTCTATGTTAAGGAAAGAGAAATGCCCATGTGTCTGTGGTAATTCTTCTGTTTCCCCAGGCACCCTGCTTCAAAGTGTTTAAGAATCTCTAGAAAAAAATTTAAGATATGTTTAGAAGAAATTGATCTAAATATTCCACAGGGCTGGGGATTTAGCTCAGCGGCACAGCGCCTGCCTGACAAGCGCAAGGTCGTGAGTTCTATCCCCGGTACTGGAAAAGAACCAAAAAAAAAACCCCAAAAAACAAACAAAAAAAATTGTCATTAAATATTTCACAATACGGATGTACTACATGATGAGATATTTATATAATGTATAAACATTGTTGATATTAGAGTAATTAGGTATCCCAAATTTTGTATAGAGACTTTGTGTGTCAGTTTTCAGTTAGTTTGAGAAATCATTTTACTTTCTACATAATTACTATATATTTTGTTTTCTACATAATTATTTTATTTTCTACATAATTACATAATTACAACATAATTACATAATTACTTCTGCATGATTAATATTTTGCCTTTTGTTTGAGATTTTCTAGTCAATTGATTCCTAATTATTATATACTTCTCAAAATGTCTTAAATGTGTTTTTATATTTTATCATATATTTATATATATCATATAGAAACTAATATATAATTACCTGATTTAGAGAAGATATAAGGTCATAAATTTTAAAAAGTAAATTAAATATTTAATATTAAATATAATTTTATTTTAGGAATGGTTCCAAAATTTTTCTTATTGAATTACTGCTATAACCATCTCATTTATCACTAAAAAGAGATAAAGTATGTTTCATCAGTTTTGAAAGTCTTGGGTCAACCCAGTTAGAGTGTTTTTAAAAGCATAGTTTAATTCAAAATGAAGTTTTAATAGTTTTCATAGTGAAAAAATATCTTAAATTGATAGCAGTTTATCATTAGATGCTCCTGTCATATACTAGAAATTAGTTTTGAATCCACTAGTCACTGTTCAAAAACTTGAAATTTGCCTCACAAATTTCCATTTTCATAGATTCCATTTTTATATCTTAAATACCTTTGAAGCTAAAGGGTTTTAAACTTTGAAAGATCTGAAAGTCGTTGAAGCAGGTTAGAAATTTTTGCTGCAGTGCTTTAAGGACATACAAAAATGACAAAAATCACATGACACAAACATTTTCAAACATTTCAAATGTTCTTATTAGGAGTTTCCAAAAGCAGTGTGTTTCTCCTCCGCTGTTACATTTCTCCTTCAC